TACTGCCTTCCAATACCGCAATACCGCTACCCTATGTTTTCGCTTCTCCGATCTGGCGCTGTAGTACGCGACCATTTCCTGGAGCCCGAAATGTCCACTTTATATCAGAAAGGGGTCCCAAACTGGGTCTAGCACGCCTCACCCGCGCGATCCTCGTCGACATCCAGGGGATGAACACCACTTGGATGCCATGCCCCCAGGCCCCTGACAGTGTCAAGGAGCAAAAAATAAAAATACAGACGCGCCCTGCTTTCTTTGTTTTCTTCTTGCTGCTACCAGTCAACTTAATACGTCGAAGCGTTCGTGGATGAGGGACTAATGGGTCTTTTCTCTATGCAGCATCACCCCCACCATCAGCCCCAGGGTCCAGCACCTACTCAGCACCTGCAGCACCAGCAACATCCTCGACCCTCGAGCATCGTTCATCAGCAGCACCACCCGCAGGCTCAGTCGCAACAGCATCCTTCGTACGCGTCCGGCCATCCCATCGCCCCCGCCTACCAGCAGACGAGCCAGGCTTCCAACGCCCAGCACTCCCAGGACGGCCTTCCTTATTACGCGCACCCGAGCCCCTACAGCACCCCAGGCGCGACAAGCGGATACACTTCCGCTGGTGAGTTCTACCAACACCGAGACGTGACGACGAAAACGACGCGTCTTGACAGCTTCACAACAACATTCACTAACATTCACATCTAGACCAATCCGACATGATGGCCGCCGCTCAAATGCCGAGACCACCTTACCCTCCTATGTCATACCACACGCCTCAGTCGAACTCGCCTGCGTCGGTAGCATCGCCCTCCCAACATGACCAGCACCGCAGCATCTACGGCCAGCCGCCGTCTCAGCCTCTCCAGCAGCACATGTACTACCAGACTCAGCAAGCGCACTACCCGTCCATGCAGGCGCAACCTCAACAGTCGCCGTACGCGCAGCACGCTGCCCAGACGCACCAGCCCATGTCCTCGCAGACCAACATGATGATGTCGCAGCAGCAGCAGCAGCAGCAGATGCCTCAGCACGCGGCACAACACAGCCAGCAGCAAATGACCAACTCTCCGCGCGGCCACATGAAGACGGAGCCCCAGGTGCCTCTGCAGCTGCAAAAGCCTCAATCGACTCCCATGCAGCACGCCCAGCACCCCCAGAACGGCGCTGCTCTCAACACTCCTACCGGTTCGACCCCCGGCGGTGTCAACCCCAACGCGGCCCCCGGCCCTATTCCGGCTACCACGCCCTTGGTTGTCAGGCAGGACCAGAACGGAGTGCAGTGGATCGCGTTCGAGTACTCTCGCGACCGCGTCAAGATGGAGTACACCATCCGCTGTGATGTTGAGTCGGTCAACACGGACGAGCTTTCTGCTGAGTTCAAGACGGAGAACTGCGTATACCCCAGAGCTTGCTGCCCCAAGGACCAATACCGCGGTAACCGCCAGGTGTACGAGACGGAGTGCAACACGGTCGGATGGGCCCTCGCCCAACTGAACCCTCCTCTGCGCGGCAAGAGAGGCCTTATCCAGCGTGCTGTGGACAGCTGGCGCAACAGCAACCAAGATCCCCGGCTCCGAAGCCGTCGAGTCCGCCGAATGGCGAAGATGAACACCCGGAAATCGGTCCAGGGCGGTCCCCATCCGGGTGCTCATATGGGCGGCCCCAGCCCACCAGGGATGCCGCAAGGAGCGGGTGGCATGGGTCCCGCGGGTGCATCAGCCAAGATGCCTGGAATGAACATGGGTCATATGCCGCACGCCAACGCTCCGGGTGGAGGGGATGAAGTCGGTATGTTTCACCAGATGTGATTAAAGCCCTCCGCATCTGCAGCGTTTGCGAGCCCAGTCGTTGTCTGTTGTTGATTGTCGTTGCATCGCACATACACACTGCCCGGCATCCCCCCTAAAGATCGTTGATTATGTGATACCTTTCCCCCCTTCCTCCTGTTAGCCGTGGTCTAGAGCGACACGAGCACATCACACAAAACACATACAATTTTTTACCTCTGTGCCTTTACCTGCATCTACTATTACTCGTCAGAAGTCTTGGGAATGGGTTTGTTACACTTTGTCTTTTTTGCGCTTCCTGTCCGTATAGCGCCGGCTTCCTTTTTTTTCGGTCGCATCAAAGCAACTGCTACTTGATACAGCAAAGCTCGCCGCGGGTTGAGAGGGATTTCCTTTTCTCTTCGGCACAGATCTGTACATTACCATAGTTGCTGCACGCAGTTGCTGCTGTTGCTGTCGTTAGTCATATGTTCCCGAGCTTGTCGGGCAACATACTGCGGTACTCTTAGAAGAGACACCGGCAAAAAGTCGCATTGCTTAGCGTTTTGCATTCACCCTTGTTTTGCGTCCCAGCCGCGCATGGCTTTTCTACCACTCCTATCAAACGGACGGGAGGGAACTAAGCTCTTGCCATGGCACCTCTGTACCGCAAAAGCAACCCCCTCAGATCCCTTTGTCTTGAGCGTTTCGCGTTGCCGTTGGTTCGTGTTGTCAGGGCTGCCGATCAAACATGTTTACCCCTCCCACTCCGCTCAACCTGCAGACATCTCCGAAACTCGTTTCCAACCCGTCATTGCAACGTTGGCTGACTTATCATGACTGACTAGGCGATGGAGAATACGTTGACGAGCACCACCATCACCACCAAGCCCCGACCGGCCAGTCGGGTGGCGACGGCGACGTGAGACAGTCGCAAGTATTCTCCGGTAGCTACGGAGGCTATCCGGCCCCCAGCTCCGGGTCCATGCCGCACATGGGCAGCTCTCATGGCGGAGCCATCTCCGCCCGTCGCCACAGCCGCAGCGAGAACGACGAGCCCGAAGATCTGTTCCCCAACATCCCGGAGGCTAAGAAGCGCAAGTTCATCCTCGTCGAGGACAACGTCCGGGGCTCGCGCCTTCGTGTGAGAGTCACGCTCGATGGCGTCGATACCAAGGAGATCCCCGACTCCTTCCGCAAGGGAGCTTCCGTCTTCCCTCGGTCGTACTTCCCACGCGAGATGCAAAGCCCGCCTCCCTCCGCGACCGGGTCCAAGTTCTTCATGGAGGATGCTGATGAGGAGGATGACGGCGTTGAGGAGACTGACGGTCGCACACGCAGAGCCCGTGGTAACAGCAAGGCCATGGTCAAGGTGCCCATTGGTGAGAACACCGAGGGAGAGGTTGCCATCCCCCGAATGAGGAAGAGCGTGAGAGGCAAGGAAGTGCGTCTCAACGACCTCGGATACCGGATGGCCTGGCTCCAGAGCCGAGTCTTCGCAGGTCGCACTGTGTTCCTTCAAAGAGCCCGTGAGTACTCCAAGGCTGTGTCGAACATCACAGAGACTAACATCATGCAAGTGGACTGCTACCGTAACAAGACTCGCTCCGCGATTGAGTCCATCATGCAGGACGTCAAGACCCTTGCGCCGCACTATGAGACGCGTGTCGGCAAGCGGAAGTGGAACGAGAGAATGAGAAAGGGCGAAACCGATGATTAAACCAAATCGGCCACAACGCAAGTCGCAAAATACGTTTGCCAAGTATTTATCTGGTCACGCACATAACCGCGCCGTCCTACGAGCACAAACTTGACATCAGCATTCTCGAGCGAGTCCCCTCATCGAACCGATTCATACCTTTTTCTCTGCTTTCGTTTTTATCTCGTTTCCGCGCATCGTTAATATCGACGTCTCACGACCCTTTTGCGACACAAAAAACAACCATTCTGTATCATACGTGCCGATCCGACAAGTTCATAAAGGAGGCTGCTAAGGAGGAGGAGATACCAACCGTTTGGTTTTCTCATATGGTGATGACGTGACGATGAACCCCTTCAATTTTCTTTTTGTCTACGAAGGATGAAAAAAGACGTTTGCTTTTCAAAATCATTACTCGTTTGGGGAGGTTCCTTCCTCATCGGAAGGTTTCTGTTCTGCGCCATTTTTGTTCATTGCAGCAAGCAGCACACGAGCTTTGCTACGACGCCTTGGACCACGACAAGACATGAGGCGGCTTTTTACTTTTCATGGCCCGACTTTCTTGCATTTTCCCAAGCTTGGGGATGAGGTTTCCTACGTTTCGGCGGTGCGAGGGTTTGGAGGTGGTGGATGGTGGGTGAGGTTCGTTTTTCCTCCTTCGTCTATGGTCGGCTTCTTGGTACATTTTCTCAAAAAAAACTTTTCATGCTCTCGCTTTTCGTTGCTTTTTCGGCAAAGGTCAAGTTAGGGATTTTACCCGTGGAGGAATATGGGGATTGGGGGCTTGGGTTTCGGGTTTTCAGGCTCTTTTTTCTCCTTCGGTTCGGAGGCGTCGGAGAGCGTACTTGCTGGTAAGATATGCTTCGTCCGGCGGCGGCATGGAGGGTGTGACCATGGTTCATAGATTTTTCTTTACTCAAGATTCTGATTTTTTTCGGTTATCTCGTCGCATCTGTGCCTCACATGTGTTTGTACGAGTGTTCGTGTGTAAATGGCATATCAGTCTTGGCGCCGTGATGGACTGACCACATCCCAAGAGGACATGCAGTTGGCTGGGCACAAGTTCACGAAATGTCGGTAAGGTCATCGCGGCTTCTTGGAGATCTGTCATGTTGATACGTGCCGCACTTTATTCGCCTGTTTCTATGACTCGCGCGTGCACCACATATTGTTCAGAGTTCATCTGATGTTGAGGCTTGTCAAACTCTGTGGCTTCCTCACCCGAGCTTGGCTTCTCACGATATAGGTCGTTTGTCTGAAATATTCCAGCACATACGACCATACCCACTGGAGAACTCGGGATCCCGTCCGCTCTCCCATAGATAAGCCAGTGAGGGCTGGAGTAGTAGTCGGGTCGGTGACGACCGGCGAATGCCCGGTGTTGTATGTATTTTTGCCCTCATCCTTCATTTTTGAGAGACGAGTTCAGTAGTAAGTTGATGACGAATACACGGCCTTCCTCGCATGGTTCGGGATTGGTGCATGTTCTTGATGATGGAAGATCTATATGCTTTTACTCTACATTGCTGCCGCCTATGTGATCACTCCTTCGAAGCCACATCCTTTGGAGCTCTCTCTCGTTGGAAGACAAACAAAGCCTCATCTTTTCCGGCGAAACTCGGCAGCGGAATTTGCACCACCTTGGTCCACTCCTTGTGTTCCCTCTCCATGTATTGATCCATTGTGACGCCTTTGAATCCCGTGTACCCGTTCCCGTTCTGCGTGCCAACGACCGCAATAGTGTCGCCCTCATACGCCTCAACCAGGCCCCTGGTGAATCCACCCTCCTCGCCGCCCGCCACACCACCGCCGACGACGGGGTACACAAGCAGCAACGCGAGGTCCCTGCCCGAGTCGCGTTTCTTGAGCCACTTGACGCCGTCGGCGATCTCCGTGTCGGAAACCCAGTTGACGCGCCACTCTGACTGCATGTTGTCTACGGGGAACGCGGTGACGCCGTAGAGGCGTAGCATGAATGTCCAGTACCCGTTGCCAGACCCCATGTCGGCGACGGCCCTTCCTGCCAAGAGTGTCTTTAGTATGGAGAGGGCTTCGTGGGAAGGTGTGGCACAGCCGAAGTGGTGCATGAAGATGGGGAGGACGTGGTGAGACTGCATGCGTTTGGCGGAGGCAGGGTGCGGCCCGGCCCATTCGAGATTCCGGCATGACCACGCCCAGAAATCGACATAGGGGTTTGGTGGGCAGGAGGTTGCCTTTTTGCATTTCGGGATTGCGAGGGTGGTGGCCAGGGATGGGTGGATGTAGCGGTGGGCGGTGAGGTGAGAGGCGATCTCGAAGCGGAGGGAGGACTTTTTTGCGTTTGACAGGAACGATTTCAGAGCAGATGATGTAAGAGTTGTCGGGAGGAAGATGGAGACATAGGCCTCTACGTCAGCTTGAGGAGGAGGGTCGAGCTGAGGGAGGTGTCAGTCTATTATTCGGCCGTGAATTCACCATCAGCGCTCAAGACATGAGAACATACAGGTTTCCCCTCGTCATCACGATACCACGCATGAAGACCGTTCTTCCCCCCCATGTTCACGATTTCCTGAACCTGCGGGAGACGGACTGAAGTCATGGCATGGTATACGTAGGTGTCGCGCCTAGGGTCGATGCCGAAGGAGAGGTTGACGGCGGAGTAGAGGTTGTTTTGGGCCAAGAGCTGGTTCGCTTTCTCGTGACGTTCTCTGTCTTCCGCGTAGGCCTTTGGATCAAATTCGGGTGCGCCTACGCAGTGCACGAATTTGCCGCCCTTGGACGACATTTTGGGCGGTTGATTCTACAAGTGAGATGAGTAAATATTTTGACGTTATTTTGTCGTGTTTGTCATGAGAGATTTTCAGAAAAGTTTGGCCTCTATGAAACCGAGTTAGCAACACGTTTCTCTGCAGTGACAATACCAAGCTTAGCACCCACTGATATGAACATTGAACGGATGCTGCATCACAGATCTCGGAGCGTTGCAAGGTTGTTATCCGGAACGTCGTTTTTAGAACACGCCGGGTTTTCGGGGCCGCATTTTCGGAGCGGACGGATGTCGTCATTGCATTTCGCTGAGCCTCACCCACTTTTTCCGGGACAGTGAGAGGCGTCGGCTGCACTGTGCAGGTTGCGAACGAGCCACGCGAGCGGTGGGGAAATGTCCAGTGACCCCGGGCTGTCAGGTTCGTACTGTGCGCTTAACCTTACCTCAACCGGCGGAGGTAACGGAATGGAATGTTTGGAGAAACAAAACATCTCTCTTTTGACTTCAATTTCGACGACTTTTGCTACTCGTGCGAATGGTGAATATATACAACGACAGTAGCGATCACGATGATCACGCTGGATAGAAAGGCGTTGCGGCTGCGGTCTAGCTGTTGCTGCGAGGTAGCATTCGGTCCAACATGACACGGTTGTTCTCACTTCTTAGCCACGAAATCGACGGCTCTTCATCATACCTCAACCCACGTGGAAGCCCATCCATCTGCTCCGACGCGTGAGCTGACTATCCAAAACGTCTCGATACCTGCCCTGCTTCCCAGGTCATCGCCGTGCCGAATTGCCTGATCCGCTCGTCACCATGTCATGACTCGGAAGTCGGGGAAAGGCATCGGGCCACCGACACCGCAACACCGCTGCGCCGGATACACAAACATTCATCCGCTCCCTCGGGAGTTGACCGCGGTCGAGAACACTAAATTTCTTTGCCGGCCTCTCCCCCACACAACCCAACCCCGACCCTCCACAATCCTCAGGGGTAGGGCCGATTCTGCGGGCACAATGCGGGGTGCTGCATACCCAGCATCCAAGCCATTGGGCCTTTTTGGCAAAATTTTGCCCCGGTTGGATGCTTCTTCAGGCCTTCGAATGGCTTCGCTTGCGGTGACGTAGTTCCACTGCACCAAGCTACACCACCCCGGCGGCTTGGTCTCGTGGCACGATGCTGGGATCAACCATTCATGCTTGCCATGGCTTCATCTCCAGACCCCGTCTTGATGGACGACCCGGGGGGCCCAATGTCCGACCTTCTCCCGGTCCCGCACCCGCTGTAAAAAGTACAAAATGCCCGCCTGCCTCCGGATCGGCGTGAGGTTCGAGAGAACGGTCGTTGTAGCGTCTGCTCGGAACCAGTCGGCACTCACCCCGTAAACATCTACCACCATGACCCGACTCAGTCTGCTGGCCGCCTTCTCCACGGCTTGTGCCACGGCATCCGCCCTCGTCCCGAGACAAGCCGTCCCGGGTAACGACACCGGTGCCGCTGCTCCCACTGCCCAAGTCAAGAATGGCTCGTACTACGGCATTTACAGCCAGTCGTACGACCAGGACTTCTTCCTCGGCATCCCTTACGCCCAACCTCCCGTCGAAAACCTGCGTTACCGCGCTCCTCAGCCCCTGAACTCGACCTGGGAAGGCACTCGCAACGCCACAGAGTACTCGCCGCAGTGCTTCGGCTATGGAAGCGATACCTGGGTGCTCGGAAACTACGTCTCGGAGGATTGTCTGACCATCAACGTCGTCCGGCCCCACGGTGTTTCACCCGATGCGAAGCTGCCCGTCGCCGTATGGATCCACGGCGGTGGCCTGACTAACGGCGGTAGCTCCGACCCGCGGTACAACGTCTCCTTCATCGTCGAGCAGTCCGTCCGCATGGGAACCCCTTTCATTGCCGCCAGCATCAACTACCGCCTGCATGCTTGGGGCTTCCTCTGGAGCGACGAGATCAAGGCCGCCGGCGCGGGAAATCTCGGTTTCCGCGATCAGAGGTTAGCTTTGAGCTGGGTCCAAGAGAACATCGCCGCTTTCGGAGGCGACCCGGAGCAGGTCACGCTGTGGGCTGAGAGTGCTGGAGCTCGAAGTGTCGGAACGCAAATGCTGGCCTACGGAGGCCGCGACGATGGTCTCTACCGCGCGGCCATCATGCAGAGCGGAACCGGCTTGGAGACGGACTTTGGCGAAGTTGAGTCGACCACCAACACGTGGCAGGACTACTACGACACCATCGTCAACAAGACCAACTGCACGTCTGCTGCGGACACCCTGGACTGTCTCCGTGGACTGCCAGCATGGGATCTGAGCGATGTCATTAACGGCACCTCCAGCCCCTCTTTCAACGGCATGGCGGACGGCGACTTCCTTCCCGCTCCGCGTTCAGAGCTCATCAACGCGGGAAAGTTTGTCCACGTCCCCATTCTGATTGGCGCCAACTTCGACGAGGGCACTCAATTCGGACAGAAGGGCATCAACACCACCGAGCAGTGGGACTCGTACCTCCGTGCCCAGGGTGCCAACAACGTCACTATCGAGGTCCTCTCCGCCCTGTACCCTGACATCCCCCGCGTCGGCCTCCCTGCAACGCTCGACGGCCGCCCAACGGGTGACGAGGCTGATCTGGGATACATGTACAAGCGCGCTGTGGCCTTTGGGGGAGACCGCGCTCAACATGGGCCAAGGCGATACTGGGCGCGAAAGTGGGCTGAGGCGAACCAGACGGTGTACTCATACCACTTCAACGTGCTGGTCAACGGCATGATGCCCTCCGACGGCGCGAAGCACTTCCAGGAGGTCGTTTTCGTTTTTGACAACACCGACGCCGTGGGCTACAACACCGCCGTCGCGGTGGACCCGTTCGAGGGCAAGCCCGAGACGTTCAAGACGCTGGCTGATATGATGTCGCGCATGTGGGTTTCCTTCATCACCAAGGGCGACCCGAACTACAACGGCGTCACCAACACGACTTGGCCGAAGTATGACGTTGAGAATCCCTACAACATGGCCTTCGATGTCAATGTCACGGGTATCGCCTATCAGGAACCGGACACGTACCGCACGGAGCAGATTGAATATCTGATGCAGAAGTTGTGGACTCAGGAGTAGTGGGGAAAACACGGATATGGAAACCTAATGTTCTAGACGATGGACGTAATGTAATGGATCCATGATAGTATAGAAGTACAATACCCCAAGAAAATATCTCTTGCTGCCGCAATCTAGGGAAACGCTGTTTCTATATTCTGGCTAGCTCCTGTCAACTGGTTCACCCCTCGCCCTCTGTCAAACTTTGTGAACATGGCACCGGCAAAAGAAGAGCCATGGGAGAATTATCAAAGGGTTGTCAAATCGTACAGCTGTCACCAGTTTGCCCACCTATAAATGAAGTACTTACTGCTCTATAGCTCCCTTCTTCCGATGACCCAGTCCGTCCAGAAATACATCAAGTTCGAGGAAAACTCACCTGGCTTGTGGCCTCATCCTCAAGCTTGCCTCGGCCGGTTCATGCGTCGCCACGCTGGCACATACTCGTCCCAGCGGGGGATCTCTACCACCCTAACAATGGGATCAGTGTGGCACCATTCGCATCCATGTGCATAGGTCTCGCCATGGACACGACAATCTCGAATATTGACGGTTGGACGCCCGCGCGAAGGCGTGGTGCCAGACCCTGACGTGACCGAAGGAGACCGAGGATCCGATCCGAACGTTTGGTCTCCAAGGCCCATGGCTAGCTGATGCTGAGCTGAGGAAGAGCTGGAGGAGGCCTCAGCCCGCATTGACGTGTTAGTACGCGCCAGACTTGCAGCTTGGCTGCCGGATACACCGTAGGCGGACAGTCGTAAGGGAGTCGTGGGCGGTATTTCCGGAAGCGCGTGCTTAGGTGGAGGTGTCGGTGCCGGCAATTGGCCCTGCGTAGGTCTCTCCTGTTTTTGCCTAAGTGGGCTCTTGGGCGGCGGTTGAGGAGGCTCTTGAGGGCTGCTAGGGGGGCTATATATCGAGCCGGTTACGATGCGTGGATCGTCCTCCGAATCTTCCTCAGAGCTCACAGACGGCGAAGGTGCTGCAAACCTCACGGTTTTGGGCTTGGCCTCCCGGACCGCCGTCACGATCTTGTTGCTGTGGTAGTCATTGAGATGACAAGGGACGCTCGCTTCCCCGTTCGACTCATCAGATTGCTGTCTCCTGAAGCGCGGCAACCTCTCGTTCGCCGCGTGGCGAGTTTGGTTTCTACCCTCCAGTTGATCGTACGTGGCCGGCTGACTCTGCCGAGGGTATGGGTGTTCCAGTGCTTGCGGGTGTATAGACTGACCCGAGTAGCCGCTAGAAGCATGCGAGCTGGTGCTTGAAGGAGAGGAAGTCCGTCTCCTGGGGGCGCGTAGCTCTGGATCCTCATCGCTTAGTGGACTCACCTCTCCATTCGCGTACGTGGCTCCCGAATGGGGCGATCTCGGAGGGCTGCTAGGAGGAGTTGACGCAGGATAGCTGAGTCGTCTTCCGGGTGTTTGTTGAGGCATCGGGAAAGGCTGTTGCAAGCGGCTGCTGTCATGCTCGGCATGATCAGGCTGCGAGGAAGATTCCTGCCAAGTCTGGGCCCTCTGCCGAACCCGTGTGTTCTCATAAGATTGACTTGGGCTTGGGCAGTCACCGCTTCTACCGCACCATATGCTGAGTTCGTCAACAACACTTGACACATGCTTGTGAATCACGGCATCTGACGCCCCCAAACTTTCGGTCCACTCAATCGTCTTCTCGCGCATCAGCGCAGCTTTGGCGGCGAAGTCTGGGTCGGGTCTTCGCCTGTCTTTGCATAGACGGCACTTGTCTGAGGTGAGGCAAAAAATATGCATGGTCCTGAAAAGCGTATTTTCATAGAACCGTGTAAGGCTCTGTGCCGGTTGACTGTTGAATGGGTGCTTCAAGGATGACAAGAAGTTCTTCATGGGACTCTTCAAAGGACTCTTCATGGGACTGGAGGGAGTCACAGGATGGGCCACTGGCGGAATAAAA